TAACTTAAAGGTATAATATAAGATCTATATTTTAGATATATATAAGCTAAAAAGTTAAGCTAAAAGCTGGGCTCTGTTATAAGGTAGTTGGTTTTCTGTGTTTGTTGTTGATTTGTGTGGGTTTTAAAATCTAGAGGGGGAAAAAAATGAGACTTTGCAGACTTCCATACTTCCCACCCTACACTTCTGTGAATGAGCAGTATTTTTTCCCCATTTTCCCTGCTTTTGGGTTTAGACATTAATGTTGTCCTGAAACATGTCAAAATCCATCAGTTGGTAAGAATCCATTACCAGTGGAGTTCTTTTGGGATTATGTTATGCAGATGTCATGGAAAAGCTTATTACAGTGAATGAACCTGATATGAACCTCATGTAGTGCAGCACTGGCAGGAGAATCTTAATATCTAGGGGAAAAAAAAAATCCATCTGCAAACCCACACATTGCAATAATAAATCCAGCTACCTAGAAACTTCCATCTTTTTCTATACTGCAATTCAAACATAGCATCACTTGAACCATTCACAACCAATTTCACATTTCTGTAGGTTAAAACCAAACCAACCAACCCAACCCCCAAACAAAACCCACCCAACAGATTTCATCTGGTGATGTGACTTGCCACAGGGCTTGGCATCTTTCTAGTTCCCATCAAGACCAAGTCTTATTTTGGGTTGTAAACCTTCTCAGGGCTACTGCAGAAGCACCTCCTGCTGCCCTTTTAAAACTGATGTTGTTCTTTAGTTCCTCTGGGAGTCTGTGGTGTTGTGACTGGACTGGTTTTGGACTGGACAAGTTGACTTAAAGCCTTCTCAAACAGCCCTTCACCTCGTTGTGCCCTGGCACAAAATGTGCCATTTGGGGGATGGGAGTAGCATTGAGGTGTTCTGGCCTCCTTCTCATGCTAGAATTGTACTATCATTCCTTTTTTTATTCTCTTCCTCTCTTTAAATAGAAGTTCTAATCCATGTGGTTGCAGTTAAATATAAGATAGTCACAAAATTAACTACAAAGCATGAAACAGGAAATCAGCATAAACACATTCAAGTGGATAAACACTTAAAAAACCCCAAAAAGCCACCAAACCCCCATAATAACCACTTGTGCTGCAAGAGGAACTCTCATATAATTAGGGGATAATAAATGGAGTTGATCAAGAATGCTTTTGGAATCAATTGTATGCAACATTTTCCTTCCTGACCTTGGCACAAAAAGTAAGTCGCACTAATTGCCTCTGCTGATAACCCAAAATTATGACACATTGTTGGTCCTGGGGAATTGGTGTATTACAAGGAGCACTCTGTGACCCGAGGACTGAGCTACAAAAAATCCAAAGGAACTGAATAGTACAAAGGTCATGTGGTAACAAAGGCATCTGCAATACATGAGGAACTGATCCCCTGAAAAAAAAAGGGAGGAAAACAACCTGAATTAGTATTAAAATGTAAAATGACTTCATTTCACAAATAAGATATAGCTGAAATAAAGGCAAATGTGATTCAGACAACACTTCTAGGGAAGACAGGCACATATTAATGTCTTAGTTCAATGCACCAGGGTAAAATATTAGTTATAAAATGCTACCTGGAATAGATTTTTTTACACCTCCAGCTATGCATTTGCTTTTGGACAAGAAGGCAAAACACTGTATGCTTCTGAAAGATAATGCATGGCCCAAACGTATGAGCAGCTTGACCATTTCCACAGAAAATGAGTTTTTAGACCTAAACATTAGCATGTAAATGCATACATGTATTTTAAATTTCAGTCTTCTCTGAAAGCTGCCTTTCAATTTGTAAGGCTAAGTGTATAGAAACTGGCCAGGAACCACTTAATTAAACATTTTGAGAACTAAATTAGTTTTTTTCCATGATAGAGAACTGCTAAGAATGTAGAAAACTGGTTTGGGTCTATCTGAAATACATTACTTCTATTTCTTATCAGTGACTTTGTGCAACGTTTAATAAGAATTTAAAATCTTGCAGGCATGGCAACCTTCCAAAAAGAGATGAGAGTGATTTACACCACTCCTCTGTCTCCTCAAATCTGTTCCTTACTGCTGGATCTCCTCTCAGTCGAGGCTTTGTAAGGGACAGAATTCAAGCTCACCTTGGTACATTCCTATGAATCCTGGTAGTCATTTTATTTGCTTTGTAAAACACAGGTTGCAAGTCTCCACTGAGGCTCAAACTCCCTGTTAACCCCCAAAGACCATTTCTTCCAAATGGGCATTTAATTTACTTTTAAATAGCTGATCAGTTGTAGGAAGTTGGGTTTTTTTACCATCTGAATGGAAATGGATCCTGCTTAGACACACTCTAGCCTTCTTAGCTTCAATTTTGGAAGTGCAAGAAGGTATCAAGCGACCAGGTATCAAGTTTGTGAACTAGGAGGTAGAAGACCTGGATCCAAGTGGAAGCCAGTGGAGAGAAGATAAGATCTGTTTCCACTGAAGTAACATGCAGGGTAAGGACCTGATCATTAGTGGTGTGCCACTAGAAGCACACCAAATGTTCTGACAGCTTCCTAGTTTCATGAGAAAGGAGGGAGCCTTGTGTAGAACTAAAATAGCTGCATGTAATTTTCTCTTGTTTCTGTACACCTACAATGACAGCTAGTAAATGATCTGCTGATGTTCTACTAGAGTAAAATATGTTTAGTCTAAAATATAAACCCCAAGAAGTTCCCACGAGGCTGCAACAAGTGGCAATATTATTGCTCAGGGGATAACAGGAAAGCAGAAACCAAACCAACACCAGGTCAGAAACCCCTTGCTGAATTTGTATGCACTGCAGGGTTTGCTAATTACTATCACACAGAAGGAAGTGAAAACAATGAAGCAAGGATGTAATCCAGTCAAGTCTTCACCAAGGATATATAGAGCCTGGAAGGACCCCACTTAAACCCAATTAGAGAATATATCAAATCTAATAAGGGCACTTGACTGAACATTTCCCACAGACAACAGAGCATCCAGACATTCTCATTCCTTTCCACTTCCTTTTCCTCCTTCCAGTCCCAGGAAAAATGAGGAAGTTTGCTCTTGTTTTCACTTTATTATGAAGAAGTGGCTTAATTAAGTTGTAAATCACCAAACTCAGAGTGGAGAATTGCTTAAGATGAGGTAGAAAGTCAACAGTGATCTCAGAATATCCTACCAGATAAAGGAAACACTAAAAACACTAAAGAGGCTATTGATCTTAGACTCTTTTTTTGGTATTTGACCTCCATTAAACTTCCTCTTAGTGTTTTTCTCTTTTATAGCTTCTCCCTTAGATGGCAATTCAGAAAAGCACAAGCTGAAAACCATCTACATGATAAACTTGGTATAACCCCACCCACTGGCTGACTCCAGAATATCAACTGCAGCCACACCAACTGAGTGAACCTTTAAATTTACCTACAGACTAATTAAAAAGATGACTATCAGCAAAAACTGCTCAATCACTAAGATCCTAAAAGACATTTTCAACTAGGGTACTTACTACAGCCTTCAAAGACTGGGAGTTCCCAACAGAAGTGACTGAAGACTTCACCAAGATTTTAGACATGCCAGAATTTTTCACTCATAAAAAAAAATTAAGGTACAAATAGTCTAATATGATAGTCTGATATAAAACCAATTAAACACAGGCTGCTAATGCTGAATTCAAGATTTACAATCAAGAACTCTAGTGTCTCTGAAGTACTTGAGAAATCATGAAGTGACAGGGCTCTTTCTTTATGAAAATGGTTACAGGAATTTAGATGCACCAAGAAAAATAAAGTCACAGGATAACACTCATGAGGCTGTAAAGTTCTGTTACTGGAAGACCACATTGAAACCAGTTATCAGCAGCAACAGGGCAATATCTCTATAACCAAATATTTAGTAATTGGGAGTCTGAGGAAAATTGGCAAACTTCTGCTCTGATCAACTTTTGTGCCTGGGAAGCACTTTTTGCACCACTAACCCAGAAGGTTTGCAAATCAGTGATTCAAATTAACATGTGCAGGGATGAACAGGAGTGAATTAATGACCTGTTAGAATTTATAAGGGAGATCCTAGTCAGTTAAAGTCTTTCAGGCACAAATTTGAGCTCAAATTCAACATTGACAGTATCAAATCAGGCCAAATAATTTCAGAGAGGTTTGGCAGGGATCTCAGAAGTTACCAAAGGTGGAATCATTTCCACTGGCACCTCTTTGGCATACATAAATAAGTCTTAGCCAGTTTTGGAGAAGATTTAAAAAAATACCTGATCCAGTTCAGGTGCAGAAGTACAAAACCCAGCCCCCCAGACTGACTTTCCTATCTCAGCCCTAAAAATTGAAGTCTATTAAAGTTCAAAGCCTTTTTGCCCTTCACTTAACCCATTCCTAGCAGGAAGAACTCAACCCTTTTAATTTTACTTAAAGTTAAACCTCTGTTCTCTCAGTTAGACCAAGCATAAGGAGTAGAATTTAGGTTTTTATTTGATTCCCTCCAGCTGTAACAATACCTATGTGTATCTACATGCATTACTGTCTGCTTGTCTGGCTGAAGGATTTTTCACTAAGGCACTGTAGGCACATTCAAGTGTTCTCCCTAAGAGCAGAAAGCTGCTTCAGTTCACCTTATTTTTGTAAAAGTCTTTCTTATAATTTTGAGCACAATATATTGTCAAAAAAAAGCTTTAGAAGTCATCATTTATAAAGCTGTATCAGGTACAGCTCAGTACAGACACATTCTTAGAAAGGCAATGAAGTGACACGTGTAAATAAATTGGTATTAATGTGTTTTGGTCTGTTTTAAAAATGACAATATGTAAAAGCTTTAAGGCAGCTTTTCTTTTGACTTACCCCATAGTCATTAATTTGAAAACCAGAGCACAGATAATTAGATACTATGGCAGCAGCCCAAACTGAGATGTCTCATGGATATGAACTCATGCAGACAGACCTTTTCAATTCATCCTGCTCTTGCTACATAATAAAACCAATAAAAAATAAATAAAGAAGTTGAATATTATTAAATACCTACCTGAGAGCTTCATGAGGAGCTCAGAGGCTGCCTTGACTGACATGTCCTGCCTCATCACATTTGCTGGGGCTTCCTGTGGCTTGAGCTTCTCCTCGGGGATGTTTGGTGTTGAGGCTTCAGGTTCCTGGCTGAAGACATAGCTGGACTGAGACAAAGCTGAACTTGCAGCTTCTTCATCCTTAGGCTCCTCTTTCACTTGAAATGTAGGAGTCAAGGGCTCTTTTTGATTTGCAGCTGTCAAGAGAAGGAAAAACATGAGACTTAGTGAGGTGTATAATGCAACAGGAAGGAACCATCTAAAGCAGGCACTGGCAGCAGGCATGTCAATCAGTATTCAAAGACAAACTTCTGCATCTTTTATACACAGGGACACTTTTGAGACACAAAACCTGCATGTACCAGAGCTCAAGACACCATAAAAGCCTTCCCCTGGTCATTGGTTTGTAGGTCTTGTGTAGGCTTGATGGAAGTTCATCTCACACAGGGGCAAATTTGGCCCCTGGGTGCTACAAATTGAGTTCTTACAGCATGGAAATGAGACAAGAGATGAAAAGTAGAAAGATAGGAGACCTAAGAGGAGAGTAAAAGGAATAAGACAACAAATTCTTAGCTCCTCAAAGTTGGTATTTGTTAAGAAAGAGAACAGAGGAATTTTCAGAAGGCAGCTGTGCACTGGAAGGTGCTATTAGAGCACTGTTCCAGGTTCTACATCCACAAAAAAAGAGAGAAAGTTTCAAATAATCCCTTCAAATACTCCATGTAAACAGCCTCAGAGAAGGGTAGAGAGACCTTGGAGCTGCTTAAAATCT